CCTGTGATCCTTGCAGGAGATTTTAATGTGAATTTCTCGTTACCTGAAGCTGAAACATTATTAACCTTCCTTAAAGACAAATTTGGATTGGAAATGATAAATGGTAGGAATGATCCAACAACCAAAGGGGTAACTACCATTGATGCAGTTTTTGCAAGAAATATTGAAAACACACAACTCAAACATTTCGTATCTTACTTTAGTTATCATAATCCCATTGTAAATGTGATAGATTTGGATATTTCTCCACTCAAAAATGATACTTAAAAAATGCGATCCATTGTGAATTGTAAGCATTGTTAATAAAGTTTGTCTTAAAGAGAAAAAAAATGATTTCACTAAAAATCAATTTCTACCCCTTCCTGTTTTCATTTCCACATTACGAAGTTTCACTTCTTACGCGCGGAGGGACTCCACGCACTATTTTTTTAAAAAGTATTTCATTACAATGTTAACAAATTGATACAGGAGCGTAAAGAAATGCAAACCGGTTTCATTCGAGTAAAAACAATACAGTTGTATAGTATAACCTGATAATTATAATTTTATATAGAATCTTATAGTGCGTCTGACCAGGGACTGTAGAACTAACAAGTTAAAAATAACATTGCTTATCACAAAAGTAAAAATAAAAGTTTTTCTTATTTCATATCTTTGCCGAAAACCATAAAGAGTTACATTGCCCCCCACACAAACCCCTTCTAACTTCTCTAGAGGAAGTGGAACTCTTTAAATATCAAAAGATATTTTCCAGGAGTATCATTTTTTTCTTCTCTCCACTTCATCAAGAAGGAAGGAAAAAAAAAACTGGAGAGAAAGGAAACTTCCAAATTCTCTTAAAGTATTACTCTGGAAGTTATTATTATTTTTTTATGCCGAAGGATGAGGCGAAGGATCCGAATTGAAAAGACGGATCCAATTAGAAGGTTCCGAAAATTTTTGAAGAGTGTATCGATTTTTCATTTGGGCGAGACTTTTATTCCTCGAAAGCTTTTTTGCCCACCCACCTCCTAACATCCCTTGTCCACTTCTTCGCTATTGTAGATGAGAACAAAAACTTTATCTCTGCAGACATGCAGAGTAGCGTGTTCTTAGAAAACTTTTAATAAGATAAAAATGTCCATTTTTGTAAAACAACAAAAAAAAATATTTACATCGATGAATATGGGAAAAAGAGTTGAAGACAGAGGTCAGCAACTTTGGAAGAAGGGAAGAGTCCGGTATAAATATTAGAAACACCCCACTAAAAATTTAGGAATGTAAAAAAAAAAATTTTTAAATATTCTTTCGCAACGTCAAAATAAAATCATAATTTTCTCCTTTTTGAAAAATCTAAAATTATGATATCTGATGAAAATATTTCTAGATTATTAGTTATTTAATCTATGGAAATTTGATTTTTAGAATAAATGAAATAGTTCAGTGTCACCCACAAAGCGCTTTAAGTTTAAAGCAGATGTGACAAGAACAGGAAATTAACATTTCACATGTATTGTAATGTTGGCATTGTATTGGTATAATGCAATATATGTTATTGATATACAAGATGTTTCTGTACTTCGTGTGTAAACTTGGATGGAAAGTAGGACACATTATAAGGACTTAGACAACCCATGGCCAGAAATAGTCTTGAACGCCACCAGAGGGCGTTTGCACTAAATGCATGGACCTCATGGCATTTGAATCGGTAATTTTAATAAGAATAATTATATTTTCTACAAATGCAAAAGGTTTNTACGGAGTTGAACGTAAGTAGTCGTAAACCCATGAAATTGGGTCGGCTGTTCAACGACGGTTATAAAATAAAATAAAATATATGTTATTGATATACAAGATGTTTTTGTACTTCGTGTGTAAACTTGGATGGAAAGTAGGACACCTTATAAGGACTTAGACAACCCATGGCCAGAAATAGTCTTGAACGCCACCAGAGGGCGTTTGCACTAAATGCATGGACCTCATGGCATTTGAATCGGTAATTTTAATAAGAATAATTATATTTTCTATTGCATCAACTATATTTTCTACCTACTATATTTCTAATATATTTTCCACATTGTCGGAAATTACACTCAAATGTGCCCAAATTTAACTGTTTTATATTTAATTCCAAAGTATCGATATTAAAACTGCTTTAGTATTGGTGCAGTTTTAAAAATCATCAAATATATCAATATAATATTTTATACCTATGTTAGTATATTTGATCCCTTCAACATTTGAGTTTCTACATATTTGTCAGTGGCTGCCAAACAAAAATGAATTTTTTTAAAAAAAATATTAGAACTTCATAAGGGGCATAACCATTTCTCTATCTGACCTTTAACTTGCTGTTAAAATAATTATAAGTAGTGGTGGAAAAAAGTTCTTTAAATACTAATTCAGTGAAATATTAATACACTATCTTAACTACCACTGGAAAAAATATTTTCTGAAACTATGTAAAACCCGTTGTAGAATTCTTATCAAAACTGCACCAATTACCATAATACCAGTAGTACATATTACCGTCAGTAGTACACAATAATTAAGCGTCATCTGTGAATGGCATTTTCTACAGTTTTATTAAACGCATTTCCCATTAATTTTTCTTTCCAAGAGCTTAGCTTTTTAGCACATAGCTAATTTTATTTTATTTCACTTAATATACAATATCAATATTAATTGAACGTTAGTGTCAATAATAATATGCAGACTTCTTACGGTTACCAAAAATGTGAATAAGTATATTTTCTCCTTATTTTTGCTTCACAGTTCAGAAAATACTTTTTTCTTATTTCAATGAATACATATTACCAACATTAATTAATCATCATTGTCGTGAATGACAGTATGACGATTTTTTACGGTTCTTCTAGACAAATAAATACCTTTATTCCATTACTTTTGCTTTTTTTAGTACATAGCTTATTTCCTTTATTTCAATATGCATATATTACCTTAAATAATTAAGCATCATTGGCATAATTAAGCCTCATTGTCGTTGATATTTTATGCTTCTCCTAAACAAATTAGTACCACTTTCCCATCAATTTCTCTTTCGAATTCATAAATATTTTTTTTTTCTATTCCATTGCAATTGGTTTTAAGTAAGTTATTTTTTAGAAACACATTGAAAAGAATTAATCAAAATAAAATAAAAACGCGTGTTACCAGACGAAGTATAAATATGGTGACGTAGACAACACGTGCTACCACGTAACGTTCATTGAATTTATCTGACATAATTAAATATTTAAATAAGTGCAAAAAACTTTTTTTTGATCTAATAGAGCTACAAGCTAGATTATCTTTAAAATATCTATAAACTTTAAGCTTATGCCTATAAGCTATATATCTATAAGCTTATCTTTAAAATATGTGAAAAATTAAATTATTAAATTTAAAGCAATGGTTAACGCTTAACCAATCAGAAAATTGAATATCGTTTTTTGCTCATCCTGCTCGAAAGGTTTGTCAAAGAATGTTCTAATGCCGACTGTGACCTTCCCGTGCTTTGAACAATCTATATGCCAAGTTTCACAGCTTTCAGTCGGCTGGTTTAGGAATCTGTAAAGGACAGACATTCATTTATATTGGGAGTACAAATTAGTTCGGTACGTTTTCAAAAGATGGCTCTGGCTGCTATGAATGTTACATAGTCACAACTGGTTTCGGTGGTTTCAGAGAGGTTATACATATGTCAATAATATTCAGTTTATATCGCTTTGAGTTTCATACAAAAACTTGTTTTTTACTTCGGTGAATATGTCGAGTTTTGTGGTAACTAAACAGCATTTGCGGGATGTTTTATGTTTCTGCTTTAATTGGAAGAAAGGAGCAGCTGAATCGCATCGAATGCTTGTAGAAGTGCATGGTGACAATGCTCCAACTGATAAAGGGAATGGTTTAGACGTTTCAAGAA